AATGTAATCTTAAATAAATTCCAGCTTGACACCTTCACGCGTTTTCGAGAAAAATGGACGGACGGAAGGACAACAAAGTGATCCTATAAGGGTTCCTTTTTTTCCTATGAGGTACGGAACCCTAAAAGTATGCTTAAGACACCAATAACAATAATAAAGTGTTATGTTGTAAGTGTTAACTACACACAAACAAATCTTTGTTAAAATATCCGCACAACTGAAGCCCGCTTACAGTAGCACTCCATCAGTAAGCAGCCTCGTGTTCGAGTGGTTCAGCGAATGGCCAGACTGAAAGCGTCCTTTATGTCAGAAATGGATTAACACTTGTTTCAATGCAGTATTTGTCACTTGTATTGATGATATATGTTCATTCAGTATCGTCCCTTCATCGTCAATCATCAGTTAAAGAAGTATTTATTTAAATCAGTCCCACAGTCAATTAATTAACAAACTTAATAAAGCATAAGAAAATATCTTATACGTATACCAATTGAGAAATGTGTAACAGAGTACTTTTGTCGTTTTGTTTTCTATATTAATACTTTTTGGAACTTTATTATTATTTCGAATAAACATATTTAAAATATAATCCTATATTTGTAGGCTGTATTTATAGATGTTAACCCACGGTCTTACACCAAACTTAACTTGTTACGTAACTAAAACATAAACTGTTGCTTATGAGTGTAGAGAAGGGACATAGGTGTGTATACTCTACTTAAGTAAACTTCAAATAATTAACTCTATCTGCGCGCAGCATGCGTCTTGTGTAATCCCCGACCCTTGGACCTTAGACCTCTTGATATCAGACCCCTTAATTGGGTTCCTGTAATGGAACTTACTGATTTTAAATTAGCATTTTCCAAAAAATAATAAATCTACGCTATCTAAAAAACCACCTCCTTAGGTCTCTATTTAAAATCTACTTATGTTATCTGCGAGAATTTTATTATAAAAATTTATATGTTCAGATTTTTTTGTTTGTACGTTATAAAACTAGCTGTCGCCCGCGACTCCGTCCGCGAAGTATGAAAAAAAATTAACAGCCTATTTGTTCTTCTAAGCTATTTATGTTCTACATTTGTATCAAATTTTATCAACACATAAACATTCGCATTTATAATATTAGTAAGAGTTTTTGTTTTGATGAAGAGAGAAAGTGTTTTTGTTAACGTATTTCTTTTTCGGTGTAAAATAATCAACTTTATACTACAAATTTTTCATATTTTACTTTGCCATTTTCACACGTATTTTCCCTTAAAGTACCTCAGATGTGTCGCGACCCACTTATCCAATGTATTAAAAATTTAAAGTCGCGAGCAGGCACCCTTAGTTCCCACATCCGAGGGTTGTGGCAAGGAACAACTGTCTCGTAAATTATGCGAAGAAATGGGAAATACTCTTCGAAAGATAAAATCCTCACCTTTCAGTTTGTTTTAAATAATTTGGCTTCTACTTTTTGATAAATAAAATCTATAAGTCTTAATTTACCTATTTTTGGGTAATTTTTTTTTTAAATTCTATATTCATCTTAATTATTATCTAAATAATAAACAAATGCGGCAATTTAAATCCATACCAATATCATAAATGCAAATGTTTAGATGGATGGATGGATGGATGGTTGTTTGTTTGAAGGTATGTACAGAACGGTTGAACGGATCTGGATGAAATTTGGCATAGATATAGAACACAGTCAGGAAAAACACATAGGCTACTATTTTTTAATTCCGCGCGGACGGAGTCACGGGCGACATCTAATTAAAATTAAACAAAACAATTCGTCACCTAAAAAAATCTTTTTAAAAAACAATCAGGCCGAACCCTCTTAAATTATTTAGTATTTAACCAGATGTTTAAGCCGGCATTAGCATAAACGACGAAATCATTTGCCATTATCCCGGGCAGGCGAGCTACAACGCACTAGCTTGAAAATTAATACCGCACTGCGTTGTATTAGCCGGTTTACGTTCCATCTACAACGGTTTAGGCTAATTTGTGGACTGAAATGGTCCATTTTAAAAGCAGAAAGCGATACAATTGTTTTAGATCATATGTGCTAACTCTGAGTTATATTAACGTTTATAAAATTTAAGTTTTTACATGCTTATAGGTATGTAATAAGTTGAACTACATTGGGAAAAGTCATAATTTTTTTCGCGCCTTAGTAGAAATAAATAGCAATTTCTCTGTGCTCTTTCTCTGACATCTTTGCAATAAAACAAAAATAAAATAATGTTTTCTATCCACCAAGCATGTATAAATAAAATTTTAACGTCTCGCCTCGTAATTTACTTTTCATAGGTTGAGATTCAGAACTCTTAATTTGATTTATTGGCATTATCTTTGGTAATGGCATTAAACGATGAATAACCACGCCCACAAATCATAGATTAGACGACCGTCAAATGCAGTGGGCACAGGTTTTAATAGATGAGATTTATGGACGTTCATCTGGCCGAAGGTCAGCGATGATTTGTCGCGATGGCGGGAAAGCGAGGGCCGCCATATTGTGAGTGTTCCCAGATATTAATTATGCTTTGTTCAGGCAGCACTGTGAAGAAAACACGTAAATTATTTAATATTAAAATTATCTTTTTGTTTTATTTCTACATTACTTTACTTATTGAATAAACAGTCATATGAGTATCTTAAAATTTTAAAGCCGACAATCACAAATCATCTAATTACTGATCAGATCCCAAATAAATTTGTCAATAAAGACTACCGAACCGGAGGACTCCGTCAAACAGTCCGGTCGATATGTTTCCGTGACTGAAGGCAGTAAAACGATGTTACTACGAAAAAAAAACCACCGTCCGTACAAAAAAGTTAACATTAAATTATACTGTAATAAATGCCGCAGGGCTATCGACCCTTATAACAAAAAAATATTCTCCTAGATTTTACACGTGGGAAATTTGCGAGGAAGGTTCACGGACTGAATTATGAAGGCCCTTAGGTGTATGATTAAAAATATTTCCTGCCAATAAATCCTTAAAGGATAAACTGTGGACTGATAAATTAATTTATCGAATTCTCTTTTCTGTTATTAAATTTAATAGAAAGTTCACAATTCATATTATTATAATTTTCTCTTCAAATATTTAATAAGATAAATCTCACGAAATACAAACTTGAAGAAAAACTTCAAATTATTTTACTTTCAAATCGAGAAAAGAATAATATTCTCATTCTAATTTTTTAAACAAGATCGGAGACCGTATCGACGCTATATTGAAAAAAAAACAAATTGCGTCCATAGACTTTGAAATTCTATTTGGAGTTATTGAAAAAGTTCATTCATTCGTTCTCAAGCTCATTGAAATGAATTTTGCGATTAGGTTATCTGAAATTGACGTTCTTAAAGTATTTTTATATTATAATTTTTGAATGAATATCTTACGGTGGTTTACTGATACTTAAATCTCTGTTTAAAACATATTATTGTCTCATTTTTGTCAAAGATAAAGAGAGGGACGACGATATTATTCAAACAGACATTTCAGTCTCAGAAACGGTTAATAAATCTATTGTAAAGTAACTATAACAATGATTAACAAATTGCGTTTACTCATTACTTAATTTTAATAAGTCCGTACAAAACCTTAAAGCTTTTTCTGGCCGTAATCAAGTCAATAACATTTTCTTTAATACTGTAATCTGAACTTTCAACGGTGTATTAATAATTAAGAAGGGTGGAATCATCACGGGCGTGGAGTTTTCTACCGTGGAATTATCTTTTAAGCCGACAGAGCGGGACTACCCGCTTTGTGGTTTAAAGTAAAACGGGGATTTACTAAATTAAGAAATGAGCCATAGACATTTTTAATGTTTTGTTTTATGATGTAAACAAATAACATTATATGGTTTATTATTTATCATATTAAATAAAGAGAAGGGTAATTTTACCGTCTTCATGAGTATGTCTTTTCTTTATTTTATTAACATTCAATCCCATCATAGGCGAGATGTTGCTATGCATGTGTTAAGATTACATTTAAAAAGACACAAACAATTATAGCCAATAATACTACCTAACGTACACACACGAAGATTTAGTAGGTTTTTAAACTACACTGTTCTCATTCCATCTAATATTAACACTCCAAAGCTATCAACACTGTACAACAAACACGTCAACTGAAGGAAGATTGACACGTCAGTGTTCGGAGAGTGACGTTAGCGCCGACAGATGGCGCTCACTAATGATGTGTGAAGTATGGATGACATACACGAATAATCTCAGGCAATAATTTATCACTAAGTGTGACCGTTTGTGTAATTTTATCATAAAAAATATACACTTACCTAACACTTATTGTTCCTCATATGGCCCGAGACCAAGCGTAGAGTCAGAATAGAGCAAGATGGCGGCGCATTGTGGACGCCCTCTGTCCCATCATGGTGACTTAAGACAATAAGTCAAGTCAATGCATTGTTATACGCATCATTTCTTAAGCATTAGAACTCAGAAATCAAATAAAACTATGCATTCACACCAGTTATATAAACAATCTCTAGCTATCTTCATACGTTTCCATTTAATCTCTATTCTCCTGAGATAATCTTTATCTTCTTTTTTAATTTCTTCCTCGACAGAAAAGATGCTTTTTTTATAAGCACAATAAACTCCGTGAAGCAACAAAAGGCGCAATGATCTTCCGAGTGTACTTCATTACAGAGAAGGATCAAAATGGCGGCGGCCGAATCCGCGCCGAATAATCCCAGCAAACAGATTTGCATATTTTGTGTCGCGATGAAAAGACTGCGTTTAGTAACTGCCGGAAATTTCACACAAAGGTATAATAGTATCTAAGCTAAGCACGTTTTAATTTCATCAAACAAAGAATTAACAATTTTACTAACAGTTAATTAAGTTTGTATAAATATTTTTAACCCGTCAGGATAAGATTCGGTTCTGTCATTGGATATTGTCTATTAAAAGGTCTTTATATTTTTGCAGACAAAACAATAATTTTCTTTATACATTGTTACAGAATGGAGGAGACAGTCCGATCTCTGCTTCAATACAAGAGCCGCGTGGAAATACTGAAGCAAGAAAAAGCCTCCTTATCATCAGCTCTTGAGGTCAGTTCTACAGTAATTACTACTTTCATATACACTATTTGCTTATTTTAAGATCATTTTAAGTCCTAAAAACCTTTTTATTTTAGTTTTTATGCCCGTAAAAAATTCATTTCTTGAGTAATAAGATTCGATTTTAATTAGGAAGTAGAAGCATCACTTATTTCGTATTAGCTGATAGCTTTTGGACATACGATAGTACTGGAAACCTTAATAGGGTCCTCCAACTTGTCTGCCCTTTTGGTGACATTAAAGAGCATTTATCGTAGCAGAGGGGGACAGGCGATCATTTTTGATTATAACTGCCCCTGCAGATAGAGGAATTAATTTGCGAAAGTACCGATCACGAACCAATATAAGTAGAACTCCCAAACTTCTACGAACAGTCCCGTGTTCTTCCTATTTTGTTGAACTGTTGGAAGCGTGAAAGGATCTTATTGATCTGGTTTGTCCGTAACTGGACGTTCTTTGAAGGATTATGAACGACGGCGTGTGTTTGAAAGGGGGTGCGATGTTTTTGCGTAATGGTTCGGTCATTTTCTTATTACGAAGTGGTGCTTAAGTACGCTGTATGGTGGGAGTAAAGCCGATTAGACGTCCAAATGGTATACGCATTTATACAGTGCTAAGCTAGAATTAGGGGAAACTTTGTCTTACAATTTGGTTCAAAAATGCCTAATGTTAGTCGTATATCTTGATATACTTCGTCAATAATACTCGAAACATGCTACCGACAATGCAAAAATTATTAGAGCTGATATTAAAAATAGGGACATCTACACAATAGGAGGAAGGCGGGTATCTTTCGACAGTGACGGGAAATGGAAAAATCAAAATTCGCGTTCTCGTTCGCCATTCAAATTTGTAGATAACGTTGACGTTGATATGAGGGGAACGAACAAAGAAACAGCAGCCGATGGAAACGAAAATACCTAACGGCATGTTAGTGAGATTTTACTCATAGAAATTGAGAGATATGTTAAAAATCTGACCAAAGATAAAAATAACAGCCAAGTACAACTTTACTACATTTTTAATAAACTTGAAATTAATAAACACTAAAAACTTTAAGAGAGGTAGAGGTTAGTAGGTAATGATTAGGTTAGTTCTTATTACAATAAGGTCCAAGAACAGTTTCGATTCATTTACTATGTTTGTATTTCGAAAAGAAATCAATTCAACGCCATATCTAGTAGCCTACACAGTCTGAATGTTCGTATAAACAATAAAAGGGATACGCAATACGAAAACTTCTCATGAATTCAAAGGAGCTATCTAACATAACTACGCTGCACGTTGGGGAGCGGAAGAAATACGTCAGTTAAATGAAATATTTTAAATATTTGTACTCGATTCTTGCTTTGGAAAATCCTTACAAAAACCAAGAACGAAGACCTCTGCCATTGGCAACATTATTATTAGGTATTATGTATTGTATGGATCATTTTACATTGGTGGAAATTATGAAACTGGGGGTCCACGATGAATTTTTAATTCAGCAGCTTAGTGAATATTTGGGAACAATTTGCAACTTAATATTGCACGGCCGGAGCGAAGGCCCCTTGGAACTTTTTACGGGGTGTTTGAAGAGGGAAATCCTTTTGTTTGGTGGAAATTTTTTTATACATTTTGATAAAAGTCTTTTTTATGGTTGAAATTTATAACATTTCTTATTTCAGTGCTATCTTTGAAAGTTTTTATGTGAAAACTTTTAATTAAATACATAAATAAACCATATATACTCTCGAAAAACAATACCATTTTATCAATCGATACACTACGAATACTAAATACATTTAAAAACATCAAACATATCCCAAAATATTAACTTGGTGAGGACGAAAAAAGCGACTAAAACAAACATTAAATATTTAATACTAGTTGTCGCCCGCGACTCCTTCTGCGCGGAATTTTAAAAAGAACTTAATTAGTTGGCGATGTGTTCTTCCAGAGTATGTTCTACATCTATGCCAAATTTCTGCAGGATACGTGCAGCAATTTAGGAGATGAGAAGGAAACCTTGTAACAAACATCCATCCATCCAAACATTCGCATTTACAATATTAGTAAGATGGTGAAATACTAAATTAATACATTATATTTTAAAACACATTTATTTTAACGTATAATAACAAAATCGATATGTAAAAAGCTTCAACCCTAAAGTCCGCATATCCTCGAACCCTTCGGAAGTGATCACAACACGACTGCAAAACGAGAACCACACAGACAGTAATAAAGCCAGTACAAATGGCAACAATCACTCACACACGCAACATTGCACACTGTATCGACCAATGCAAACATTTAAAAAATCGTATCAGTATGTTATTAACTTTCACTTTTAATTTAAATAGTTAAATATTACTTATATCATAAATGCGAATGTTTGGATGCATGGATCTCGCTGAAATTTGGCATAGATGTAGAACACATAGGTTTTTAATTAAGTTAATTCCGCGCGAACGGAGTCACGGGCGTTAGGTAGTTTTTATAAAGAAGGTAGCATATGTCGTGTGAGTCTTTTACCGAGGTTGGATGTTAATCTCACAGTACATTATCTAGATATATTCTTACGGTGAAGGAAAACATCGTGATGCAACCTGCACATATCTGAGAAAAAATTCAAAGATATGTGTGAAGTCACTAGGCCAGCGTGGTTGACTATGGCCTAATCACCCTTAACTTAGGGTAGGCTCCGAGCCCCTCGGTGGTGACGTACAGTGAGCTGATGATGATGATTATGATTATGAACACATTCAAAATATAGTCTAAAGGTAACTAATTTTTTTTATCAATTAGGTGATAAAAATACATTTCAAATCATTACTTTAAAATTGTCGCTTAGTAGTCAGAAAGTAAGCTTAAAAGGCTTAACAAAACTTATTTGTGTAGCTTTGGGTAGCTCTCATTTAACTTCAGGTGAAACCTCGCGATGTAGTTCTCATTAAAATATTTTAGGTTATATTATAAATAATATGTTAATCTCACTATGGTTATATTATATAATATGTTATAGGCAGTAGGTCCACAACAGAGCGATGGAAGGACATTAGAATAACGGGAAGCGGGAAATCGACTATGCACAATGGTTGGGGTTTCCCGGTTTAAAAGCACCCTGCAACCCCGCACACTCTACCCCTGAACCTCTAAACAATAATTCAGCTTCACCCTTCCGAAGTGCAAGGGCGCAGTAACTGAGGGCAGCTCCCATCAGTTAAATATCGATATTCAATAATTTCGTAATTTTCATAAATTCTTTTGTTATTAAGACTTTTTGCAAAATTTATTTTGATTCTTGGGTACAGTCTTTAGACCTAATAATGTTACAACCCATAAATAAAAATACATGTTTATTAGGCTTGACTAATTAACCCTTAATTCGACGAAATTTTTTGTAGCAAAAAAACTGTTTTTTTTTTAGTAAAGTCATACTTACATAATTTTCTCTAAATTAGTTCAGTAGATTTTTTTTAATTAGTTGTTGGTTACACTGGACACCATCGAATTAAGGGTTAACGCATAGACTAACTGTAAATATTGTAAACAACAAAACTTAAATTGATGTATCATCTTCACCCGGACGGAAACTGTCAGGTCAAGTACTAGTTAAAATATAATTAAATATTTTATCGATACATTTTTCCGGTCATGGGTACATCACTAGCGCATGGTCGGCAGGGGTGCATAGTCGGGCGCCCGCCGGCCGCGGCGCCGAGCATTTACACTTGCACTCTAATTGTGTTTACCCGTTATTTGGTTATGTTATTTGTAAATACAAACTTCAAGATAACGCCCAAACGCATTACAGATTACGGTAAAAATTGACACAGTTTTGTTTTCTCTCAATATTACGCGATTTAAGAGATGATTTGATATCATTACATAAAAGCTGCGATGGAAAATTAATCCATATTAAAACTGCTTACCAAGCGTCGTTTACATTTTACGATGCTTTATCTGAAGCAAATAAATATTATCCTTTTTAATTGATTCTACATAATTATAAATAGCTTTAATAAGAAAAATAAACCTTCTAAACAAGTTCCATTACACTAAATATTTTGTATTTCAACTTGGAAGTATCTTTGATAATTTATTATTAACAATGCTATCTTCAACACTTGCTTTATTCAAATCAAGTTAATATAACTCTGGTAGTCATAGTTGTCGGAATTGAAGTGTAAGTGGGAACTCCGTACACAGCCGCGGAGGCGTCTCATAATTGAGTTGGTGCCATCGCGGCTGATGGCAGTGCCGCTAACGAAACCAATTAGTGCCTGTCCATTGTTACACGACACGACACGTTATAATATTTAATGTAATAAATACAATAACGTTATATATATATATACCCCTTGTATATTCAACACATCGTTTTGATAAAATAAGTGTTCAAATTTCGTGACAGTATCAGAGTACTGTACCATAAAGGTTGCCCTTGATAAAGTCAACTTTACCAGCGTTAAGCATACTTGTGTACATCTTTTGATATTATTAAGTTTCTTACGCAAGAATTTATATTACTGAAATAAGAAATTAAAATTTCAATCTATTCGTATTGTAGATAGAAATATAATTCCTTCTATTTATATTCCGTATAAGAAATATAATATGTTCAAATCAATTAATTTGTAACAATGAAAACACGTCAAACAAAAGGTAGTTGGCCAACGTTGGCTTAGTCTCGATTGGGTTAGAGATAATGCGCTCGCTGAAGCATAAACTTCCACATCGACAAATATTACATGCTAAGAGATACGTAGTTTTGAAACTGAATTACAGAAGTAGTGTAAATTACAGGGTAATAAAGTAACAGCACATAATTCTCATGACGTCACGTGGGACTATATTTTCAAAAAGTTTACGTCATTGAAGCTATAGTAATCTTACTTTTACTATCTTACAAATCTTACTAATATTATAAGATGGACGGATGAATGTTTAAAGGTATCTCCAGAACGGCTGAATGCATCTCGATGAAATTTGGCATAGAGGTAGAGCATAGTCTGGAAGACGGACACACTCGTAGGCGACAACTTAATCCTTGTATTATGAAACATTAGTCCAAAAAGAAGCAGTAAATTTCATTTTAAACATAAAAAACATGCGTGTGTAAGTACGGTAATAAACGTTCATTCATGTCAACGTTTTGTTCACATATAGATAGATTTATAACGTATACATCGGTCACCAGACACGCATGAACGGCCAAAGGTAATGTGTACACTGTGGCCATGATTAATGGCACAATTTAATTCCGCTTATTGTCGTTAAAGTAATCAGTTCGCTGAAAAGCGCCCTCTAACGCTCCACGCTAGAAACAAAGCCCGCGAATACACATCGGTTTGGCGGTTTGGATTTTGGTATCATTAATCTTATGAGAGTGCAACTTTTACTGTAATTATCGAATTGTTTTAGGAAGTTTTGGTGTATGGTAACAAAAGATAAAGTTATCTCACGTTTTGTATTATGTTGTAAATTAATTACCGTTGGTTTCTGAGACCAAAAATCTCAGTATAAAACATATCATCCTCCATGTCATTATCTTTGACAAAACAGTAATAACAAAACGCGGATTTTGGTCTTAAAAATAATTGTTAAGCTACTACTTTTTGCTGCAATCACTTAATTTAGGCAGTATATGTACAAAAAACCTAAAGAAAATAGTAATATGCCGTGCACAGACCAGACAGGTAGCGAATCATGGGGTGCACTGTGGGTCGCGGGGGGTACGAGGGGCGCGCGGGACGCTACGGAGCGGGAAAGTGACGTTTGATAAATCGACAGTAACAGTTCAGGGTCGTGATTTATATGAAAACTTACCGCCCGGTAACAACGGCGCGCTGCCAATGCTAATCGCGTGCATTTACCGACAGAGTACTGGGGGTTCATAAGCCTAATGATACTTAATATAAACGAAAAACGAAGCCATGATAAATAAGATATATCTTGGACTTCTCGTTCTCTAATACGAAATATCTTTAGGCACTAATTGCTTAAAAATCTGAAAAAATCTTCATCATCATAATGTGTTAAAAGTTTTAAGGATATTTTTATTCTAAAGTAGCTATTTAACTGCTCTAATTTGACAATATTTTTGTTGTTAAGTGTATAACGAATCGTTTTGTTAAAAATGTGTGTTCTTAATATCGATTAAAATGTATTAAACTTAAAAGATTTCATATTAATTAAGAACATTTGATATTAATTGGATTCTATTAAATCTCGGAAGCCATTTAGATTGAAAGGAAATCAAGACTGATGTAGAGTTTTGTTCCTTCGAATAGACCTGTTTCGAGAGTTTATTTCACAGTGTCGTTTGATGAAGAATCGATCCAGCTAAGACTTAATTACCTTCCGTAGAAACATCTGCGTCTACGGCAAATGGATTTCAATTAAACAGCAAACCTTTATATGAAAACGTTGCTTAGAAGCCCGCCTTTCTTAATTATAAATTTCCTTTTGAAACCCGGTTTTAATTAAGATAATTTTATGTTATTTATAATTTTCGATCTTATTTTTTTATTATTTGTACTGAATTTTATTATATACTAGTGGTCGCCCGCGATTTCGTTAGCTCAGCATTAAAAGAAAGTAGCCTATAATAACGAACATCAGTTACCTTCCCTTCAAAGATCCGTAAAAATCTTTAAATCGATTTCGTTATGTCCGATCGTACCGGAGATCGAACTAACGTGGTCTTTCGGACTAATACATAAACAATTATTACTTGTAGTAAGTGTGATATTTTCTCGATATTACATACAGACACGCCGATTTTTTAATAAGTATGGTTGAAGAGACTTTTTCAGATTATTAATGCATAGAATTTTTTACACAGATAATGAAAAGGAAAGCTACCAAAATACAGTCATAGATTGACCATAACCAATTACAACTTGGACATTGGTTGTCAATCATGACAGATGTCATTTTATATGTTTACATTCAAAGTATCTCAATATGAAGTTATCTATAAATATATAATACTAAGTGAATGAATAACATTATTGACAAAACGACATTTCCACAGTATCTTAAATACAATATATAATATTTATTGTTACCCGCGTGATTGTCGTTAGGCGAGTATCTTATCTTCAACTATCTCTTTCATTTTTAAGCCGTTTTTGGTCATGCAAACCCCCTAAAATTGCACGGCGGTAAAAGCGATGTCGAAATTAAATGCACGTAACCTCACCCATTGAAACATCACCCCTCGGGCGTCGTATCAACCGCGTGTTGTTGCAGACAGACAGACATACAAACAGATTCATGGTCTTTGTGTCTCGCCCCCTATTTGATGACTAATGAAAAGCGACTACCACAAAATACAATATGTGATACTTTTGTACCTTATGTTGGAAGTGTTAAGGTATAAATTTGATTATTATTGCCGCAATACTAAAATTGTATTTATGAACACCTGTCCGATATTATAAGAGCTCCGACCGTGAATGCAATAGTCCTCGTTCGTGACTTCTGTTCAGGTGTAAAAAGGAGTGTAGCGGCTCAATTTGTGGTGGTCGTTAATTTTAGTACTAACTATGGGCGGTCGCTTAATTAAGAGTGCGAATGATAGGCGCTTTTTAAGTTATTTTTAAAGGCATGAAAGCCGCACTGATAGCAGTAAATGCGTCATGTTGATGGATGATTGAGAGAGAACATTGCCTTCAATGACATTTAACTATAAAGACTCTTTTCATTAACAGTGAATACGAGTCTTTAGAATTAACAGTGGAACACTTTTCTATAAGAAATGTTTAGAGCGATACGTATAGAAGATATAATTTCAATCATTAACGTTAAGTCATTATACCTCCAAACATTTGATCACCAATCAAGATAAATAAATCATGAAAATATCGAAAAGCTGTTTGACCTTCAATCAGTTGCTTCTTTGGTGTCTTCGTCGGGGTGTTGACGTAGTTGGTGGGGTTTGCAGACATCGGCGGCGCAGTACCAGGGCCAGGTGGCAGCACTGAGCGCAGAGAACGAGCGGCTGCGGCGTCAACTGAGCGCACTGGCCGCACCGGAACCCGCACTCGGCGAACAGGAACGCCGGCTGGACGATGTTGCACAGCAAGTTGTACGAGCGCTCCTCTCACAAAAGGTGAAAGTTTACATGTTTGTGAGTTTACTTAAACTAAAGCAACTATAGATCGTCCATACTATTTAATAAGTTCAGAAACATGATTATGGCAGAGATGGACAAGCTGTCGGGTATTCGTATTAAAAAATATTTTCAACCTTAAAATTACGTTAAAGAACTAGCGCTATATTTTTTTTGGGAAAACAATTACGTTCTTTTTTTATTTTGCTACGTAGAATTTACTGTAAAACCTTTTTAAACCATAACGATCAGCTAAGCCCAAAGACAAAATAATGACACCTTTCATGGTTATTTATGTGACAAAGCCAGTCGAGTGCTGTCGGAATTAGTATATTTGTCCAAAAAAACGTTTAGCATCGGAATCTCTTAATCCAGCAGAAGCATTAAGATGCCTCGGAAATTGTTTTCTCATAATTATGGCACATATTCTCGCGGCCGTGGATTACGCTCTGCTCCTTTCGCACATAAATCCTACGAAATGGGACAATTCGCCCTCAGCCACCACCGTAATAATTTCACAGGAGCCCTTGCCCACTATAATCTTGGCATAATCTGGCCGATAATGCGACCGTTTGCGTTTAAATCCGTTTCGAGATCGTCCAAGTTTAGTACCGATTTTGGCGCCAACTTTAAAAACAAAGATGGCGACGTATGCGTGACAGATGTTATTGCTGGATTTGTACTTTTCTGTGTCTTTTTAATAACTATAAATTGTTAATTTCTTTGTTAATTTTCTTTAGGAATTACCTCGACTTGATACTTTGGCACCATTAATGGAAAATTAATTAATGTAAATTGATTATTGACAATCATAATACACTCTGTATTCCTTCCAATTCGTCTTAAGAGGGCTACCTCTTCACATCCACTCGTACGTATAAACTGTTAGAGAAATTATTCATAAGCCAATATTAATCTTATGGTACTCTATCATCGTCAAGCCCTTCTGTCGGTAATTACTTTAGATAATTCCACGTAAAGGCTCACGTGTCACAATATATTCAATATCATAAAGCAAGCATTCGAGGGGTCTATCTTTGATATATGAAAACATTTGTGAGAACATGATTAGTGTTTGGTTAAGTTTGCGAACTTTGGCGTTGTAATTCTACAGTTAATGCTAATGTGCCTTAGTGTAGATTTTTTATAAGAACGTTACACTAAGCGTGTTGTAAATAGGTATTTCATAATTCTGAGAGCGGCGGCTAGAAGGCTACTTAAAAATCAGAATTCTTTTATTTTGATTTTTACTACTGTCTTAGCTCTGTAATTACGGAACGTCGATTACGTTACTCGAATTTAATTCGGCTAATGAAGCGTAATTAAAATATACGCGTTCACTTCGGCGCCAACTGATGAGGGGAGAGAAGACGTTACCCGAGCCCGGAGCGAAATAATCAATCAGTGCTCGTAGGGAATTATCTCTGTTTAATGTTATTTATGTTTGTTTCCTCTTCAACTATAATAAAATAGGTCACTGAAATAACTAATAAAATCGTCTAAAAATACTACACATGACACTTACCTAACCTAACTCTCTTACTTCAAATCTAATACTTAATTTTTCCTTATAAGTAGTCTGACATAAATTCCAAGCCGCTGTTTAATGCTTAAACACGACAGATAACAATTGAATCTAGTTTGCTAATGCAATATCCTATACGTTGCAGAGCGTACGAGAAGAGTTGTGCTGCGCACGGGCCCGTGTGCGTGAGTTGGAGGCGCAGAACCGCGCGCTGAGTGGCCTGCTGGTGCGTCAGCTGCGCCCGCAGCCGCGGCCTTCACCCGCCTCACCGCACACCCCGCACTCACCGCACACGCCACACACGCCCCACACGCACACTACGCTTACACCAAGGGATTTACAAGGTAAGCACGTACCCTTGAATAAACTCTTGAGTATCGGACAATGTAGGACTGGAATACAAAATTCTTACGTTTCTAATAAATTCAAAACCAATTTTAAAAAGTCTTTTTAAGAAAATGTAAAGCTTGCTCCTATTCTGCCTGTATGTAGCGTATACTATGGCAAAATATCAGTCTGTTTTTGTTTATCTACTCGAGTAAGCTTTGAGTTTAATAAATTTAAGTGTTAACATTTGCGTTGGCTGTGTTGCGCAGTGCACGTAGTTGAGGTGGGATCGTGCGGGTCGCTGGTGTCGTTCCGCGATTCCCCCCCGCCGCCCGCCGTTCACCCTCACCCACACGCCCTCAGCCACGACGACAAGCGCCGCCACCAGATCCTAGCTGACATCTGGACCGAACTCAAGGTACGTAATATCTATCACTCACATCAACAAATATTAACTGATTCAAAATTATTTATTTTATTCTATTTTTCGTTTTCTTCTTTCAGGGGCTGGAGGTGAGCCCTGGGAACTTGGCGCGCGCGCTGGCGGCCGTGGAGCCCGCGCTGTGGGCGCCGCCCGCACGTCCGGCCACGCTCAGTCTCAACATGCCGCAACCCTGCACCCACCCCGTCAACGGTTACTTTTTATAATGTTTAAAATGACATATATTTTCCCATTATGCTTTGGATAATTTTCCAAATTTTTTCGTTTACTATTCCAGGTGGTTGCGAGGAGAAAGCAACAGAAGAAGAGAGCGGCGAAGTGGGTGAAGTTGGGGCGGAGTCTCCCGAGAGCGGCGCCAAAGACGAGGGATATTCCACAATGTCTAGCGATGTGCAGGCGGACGCCTCGCGTCAGAGCGACCACGCGCCCGACCGCGCCTTGCCTGACCTTAACGAAGCCTCCGACGAGACCGACAATCAGACCATAGTTTCCATCAACCCGCGGGAATCCAGACGGCACGCTCGCCTTCTGGCAGACGCTGACTACATATATTTCCCGCTGGGCGTCGCGTTTGCCGGAGTCAGAGGAAGCTACCCACCCTCGCGACCCGTCCTTCCTTTTCAACATGTCGTGAGGAGCTTCTCTGACTCTCATCTCTGCCTCAAACTAATAGCGGGAACGACTTGTCCAACCAGTTGTCTTGATACCCCCACGCCGAGCTCGGGCGTTCTAGTATTAGATCTGAAACCGGCACCGGAAAGACCTTTGAGAAGACCGGCGATAGCTTCTACCACGAGTTCGGAGAGAGTTTCTTGGGGCAGCACAGTTGACGACCGAGCTGATGGTTCACAGTACGATGCGGACTATGTGCAGCATTGGCTGGAGCTCGACGACGCCAGATCAGCGCTCCAGCAAAGACATCGAGATCTGGCCGAGTTGGAATACGATAGAGCGGAGTTAGAAGACTGGAGCTTGTCGTTGTCGTGCGAAGATCTCAGAGATAGACAATCTCCTTTTGCCGAAATTACGACACCCGGTCAAATATCACTTTCAACGCTACCAAGTATTAGAGAAGACGATGGCTTAGAGCTAGAGGAAGATGTCGGAGATTGTTTATGGAACGATTGCGGATTCGCGACGGTAGAAATAGATGAATGTAAAATGACCGATGCGGAAAACGCGGAGAAGCGGTGGGAGTGCTCCGGAACACATTCCCCGGGAGGGTCCTGGTCCAGTGCCTCGGATGCTCCGGAAAAACGATCCAGTACGGCGCTGAGCGAGGACGGTGACTGCACCAATATCGGTGTCGATTTTACAAGAGATTTCTACCGTCTAGTTAAATACGAAAGCACAAAAAGTCTGGCGTCCAACTCATCCAGAGGTATTCCGTCGCAAGATCCGAGCAGTCATCTGCGAATACACGACGTGCAAGCTATGGCGCTGCAGGACCGTGAACAGGCGTTACAAAACGTTCTACATTTCATAGCGGAACAGCAAAAGTACTGTCGCGACAGGGAAGAGTCCGATTCGATGTCGTCCCGGCCCGTGTCGGAGATCCGCGAGCTGCCTCCGCCATACGCTTCGGCAGATTACGATGACGATTCCGTGGGCCCGCGCAGCGAGGTGTCAGAGGATAGACTCCGGCCAGATTCTTTCGGCAGTTTCTCAGAAAACGATTCCAGTGAAATGATCTCTAGTGAAAGACCAAAAATAGCATTCTGTGACGTCGTTTCCGAGGCAAAGTGTACGCCGCGATTCATCGAACGGGAAGACCCCTATGTGGAGTCTCAGGATTATTTCGATAATTTCTCTCAAGTGGAAAACGCCGAAAACGAGGTCGATGACCATCATCTACTTAAGGTACAGATAAAGAATGAAATAAACAAATGCATCGACACGAGCAACTCGTCCGATTTAAATCAGCCCCTAGCACAAAAAGAGGAGAAAACTTGTGATATCGAATCTAGTCGTAATGTAGACCACAATTCGGCGTTAAAAGAAAATACAGTAAATATAATGTCGAACAAACAAGTCACACTGTGCGAAAGAGAAGTGGAAACTTGTTTGAGCAAATCCTCTAGTTTTCCCCTGGCGAGCGGGGAAACGGAGATATCGTTAGTTGAGGAGGTGTTCAATGCATGTAGGCGGAGCACCGGCTTGCTGGTCCCCGTGCCCGAGGAGGAGGAGGGCTCCTCGCCCGAGACTGGCTCGCCGCAGATGACCGAGTCGAACACAACGAGCACATCCACTGCTGAAACTGTGATAGTAAGTAATAGGACCGACGGAACCCAGAGGGAGATCAGACCTCGGGTGGATAGGAGTCGTATCCCCACATTTCTCGGGGGAAAAAGGCAGCCATTGTCGCCGCACAGGACAAGGTCGAAGATCCCCGTCGCTGAGAGGGCTAGGGCAAGTACGATGCCGGTACCTGTACCCGAACCTATCATCGTCAAGCAGGAGCACACGCTCAGCTTCCACGAAGCCGCCACCTCGAAAGATGTCATCGATGAACTTAACAGGCAAGTTATGTATATGAGATAATTCTGCATTTCATACTAATGTGCTACAAATCTGGTTGCTTACATTTCTATTTATATATTTCTAGAATGATCCGGCAGAGCGAAGGACCGCCGGCGGCCAGGGGCAGCGGCGAGGAAAGCGGAGACAGTGGTGAGAGCGGGGAAGGCGGAGAGAGCGGAGAAAGTGCAGAGGGCGGCAAGGACGGCGCGCTTTGGGCGCCCACCGGCTGGGTGCACGTTGAGAAAGATATTGACTTCAGTGACCCTAAGGTATCTTGGAACTGTACCTGTAGGTTTAGAAAATTTATTAGAAAAGCTTGGTAATAGTTCTGCTAGGAAACTATCGTTTCACAAATTTATACTTTATAAAATATTTCAGGCTCGGGCGAATCTTTTGGACGTTATGTTGGCGTCGAGCGACTCGTCGCCGTCGTCATGCGGGTCGTCGCCGGCGGAGCCCCCCGCAGTCCCCGCGCCTGCCGCGCCCTACTCCCGCCTGCACAGGTTGCATCGCTCTCGGAGGCAGAAAACTGGTAAATTTTAAAACTTGTTTCCATCGCACTCAGCTATGTTTCATACTACACAGCTACCATTCGGTGTTGTGGTTTAAATTTTGTTATTTTTAATTAAATTTATATATAGAATTTAATATGGGTACTTATGTTAATGCAGGTGACATAGTTCAATATTCGTTATGAAATAATTTATTAACACTGAATGTTCGGGCAACTTCTGAAGACATTTTAACTAAATGATGTTGAAATTTCATATCTCTGAATGGATATACGAGCTATAAACAAATGGCAATATGTACAATAACCCACGTACTGTCATCACGCCGTCTTCTTCAGAGATATAACAAAATAATTTTATCTGTATATTTTGATTTTTGTCTTTTTATATACAACTTATCTTTTGTTATTTTTCTTGTTGACTATTAATGTAATATCTCTGTCTGTGTCTCGCCACAAGTCAAGCCACGCCTCTCGTTTCCGCTCTCACTCACTCGCACCATCTCACTCTCGCCTCATTCCGCGTAGTTATCATACACCACGCTCCGGATTGATCAAAAATCGACAAGGCTGCCAACAATATTATCAAAATTCATTGTAAGCTATTGGAAGCTTCTCCTTTGACATTGTTGCTCAATTACAAAATATGAGCTAAAAATATATTTTAAATGTCTCTGTCTATGTTGGATGAAAGACACAACGCAGATAAAAATTTATTAAGAAAGGCTTTTTAAAAAACATTGGGATGTATAGTAATAGTATAGTACATTTTATCGCGCACATTGTCTTTCTAACCGTTTTATTACCACTCTTTATAACCTCCGTCTAGCAGAGATTAGATTAGTTAGATGTAAGGTTGGCAGCATTGTGAGTGTGTCGCCGGAGCGTGCGTAGCGTGGGGAGCGTGTGCAGCGCGTGAGTGCGTGCGGGCGAGGTGATGGCGCCGAGCGTGCTCACGCCTGTGTGTCGTCCAGCGGGGGGCGCTTGTAGCCGCTAACGTGCCTGTTGGTGCAGCGGCGGCGCTGCGCGTGCGGCTGGCCGTGCTGCGGCCACCGCGCCGCCGCCGCCCCTCCGTGCTGGGCCGCGACGGCTTCTTCGTGCGCTACGGCGACCGCGAACGCGCCGCCGTCGCCGCCTTTGACTTCCTCGACGACCTCTCCGGCTCCGGCGGATCCTCCCCGGACACCAAAGACTGTACCTAAATTATGTAGCAATAAATGCCTCCCAAATAAACTATATTTTTTTATTGTGATATGGACGCGATCGCTTTCTCCTCGCACGGGCGGGGCTGCGCAGGATCACCGGTGCGGGGTGCCGCTCCCGTACCTTCAGTGGCGCTTATAAAACGGTTAGCCGAATAGTTTTTACTTAGTGTAGCGTTTTGTAACCGTATCCGTAAGCCGCGTCTGTCCGGCTGCAGCTTTTCCGGCGGCCTCGTGTAATCTTTTCGAGTTTAGTATTTTAGGTGTCCTAGTTGTTTCGATTTGTACTATTCGCTATGATGAGCACCTAGGCTATAACGTTCTTCCTAAATTCCATTTAGTAGTTTGGGGAGATATATGTAGAGATCGTTGCGAGGGCGTCGTATTTTATAAAAGGAACTGTTCCTTTGATTTCTGAATCTCGAACCTGAAGCCTTGCACATTGTACCAACTCTTGTATTATCGGGATGTAGTCTATGTATACTTTGCGCTTTCTGTAACCGAAGTGTTGGTATATTCAACGTGATCCGGTCGACTGCTGACTGCGATGTCTAAGCTTACGCTTCGAACCACAAAACGTGTGTTAGGTAAGAAGACGAAATAAGTAATGACTAAGTAATTAAAAGCTGCGGCCTCGAAGTAATGTGATATTTTTGTATATACTGTAAGTCCCACTTATTTTCGTATACATTTAAATGGATTCCTTTCTAACAGAATGAAGTAACTGATGGTCCTAGAGTGAAATGTGTTTGCGTTTTGAATAAGCCCGGTCGTGCGTCGAGACGAGTTTTGACTAGAGTCGCGCGACCGGATCGCAGAATGTAACATTAAGTACTTATGTAAATATGGACGATTAACATTTATGTGTAACTACATTTAATTATTATATTAGTCGTAATCTAAAACAATCGATAACCTTATAAAATCCATTAAATCGAAGGGTACTAAAATATGATAAGTGTATATATGTTATGACGTCATTGAATGCTATTTATTGATTTATATCAGTTGCGATTCTTCGACCATTTGTGTATACTTAGGTACATATCATCATCTAATATTATTTTTAGTCTTTATATTTTCTCGCTTCAAGTAACGACTTTAGTTTTCATTGACGAAGTAAGTCCATTTATTTTTATTTTTAAATCTGTTGAAATTATTTTACTATTACCAAAAGTTTTACTTTTCTTATTCTTGATTTAATTTCTAGTCGTTACTTGTAGTGAGAAACTGTCTTATAGTTTGCATATTGTAATTCCATTTATTACGGTTATGAACCTTGAGTCAATTTTTTGTGGCTTGTAAACATTGTATAGATTCTAGAAATGGCGGAACCAAAGCAATTTAACACAACTTTGCCACCACTTGTTACGATGAAACACAACATGTATTTTATCTTTTTTTTAATATTAAAAAGATTTCTTTGTAAACCAGCTTTGTTTAATGGTAATAATGAGGACAATAAAGGAAGATTTTTTACATAATAATTAATAATAAACAAAACGACTTGATCGATATCTAAAATATAGTACTTATAGACGACATATAACTATGATTTATATTTAAATTGGAACAATGTAACCACGTCCTTTACGTTCGGATACACGCATATGACAATGACAATTATAGTTTAAAAAAAAATTAAAAACTTAAGTTTTCCTGATCTGAACATACAAACCCATCTCGTTTTTTTTTTATAATCATTGCATCGTGTATATCCGAACGTATTCATTAGTTTGATAATATACAGATTGTAACTATTTTTAAATTCACTGTATAATTAACAATTAATTAAAGATCGTAATTGTTCCTAAGAACTAATCGTTCATTCCTGTATTTTAGGCATTTTATTGAACATTCACATGTAAACCAAATGACATGTTATTGTTTAAAATAGTACTTCTGTATTATGATATTGTATTCGATTTATTAAGGATACTGTGAACGGTAACTACCACTGAGTTTCGAAGCACAATTGGAAAAATAAAACATAGTAATTAAAATGAAACGCGTATTAATTGTAATCCTTTTGGTATTGGGTGCATTTGTTAGTTGATTCTAACATAAGGTAATAAGTAATACTTGAGTTAGGTAGGTACTTTGATCAGTACAAAATGTAGTGACATTATAATTTAATTATCTATAACAGATGGGTTTAATAAACGATTCCGTTCCCAAATTATTATATTGTTTTATTTACTGCATCTATATTAAAAACTGCAATTACAAATCTTACTATTATATTATAAATGCGAATGTTTAGATGGATGGATGTTTGTTTTTTTTGTATCATAAGGTGACAAACGAACGAGCGGCCACCTGAAATCGCTGAAATAGCGAAGTGACCGTTGCACATAGACATACGCAATTGCATTTGCGTTGCCTACCTTTAATCGACGGAGGAGAGGATGCACAGGAAGAAAATATTTGCCCTTTCCATGCATCCTTTCACCGGGCTAGCCGGGCCAACTCGTGTAAAGATATTAAAGCGGGTTCTACCACTGTTAAATTGTTGTTATTTTAGACATTATTAATTAGAATCGATTGGCGCGAATGACGCGCTCTCGTTACAAAGTCAAGTGTCAGAATTATTAGTGAGGGGACATAAACGTCGACATTTTAGTAAGGCTAGTGTTGCGCTAGCACACCGGCACAGTGTCGGCTTTTCTTCCTAACAGGAAGAAGGTTTCTCCAGAATGGCTCTCATTGAAACTTGCTGTAGATGTAGATACATACCCTTAGCTTAGCCTAGAAGAACAACTGGGCTACTAATTACCGCGCAGCGGTGTCTCGTGCGACTGCTAGTCTTCTTTTAAAGTTAATATTGTAATGACGACTATTACTTAATTTACACATTTTAAAATAAAATACAAAATATCCATCATGTTTTGTTTTATTCAAAATATCACATTAAAGTGAATAATTTACAAATAAAGCGTTATTGTCCAAACTATTCAGATATTTGTTCTTTGTTTCACAATATTTTTGAAATCGATAACATTATATTGGGTAAGTTATCAAGAGTACAAAAATATATCCCTGTTTCACCAAAGAGAATGGATAGAATGGGTAGGTAGTATTAAGTATGAGTATTCCAACAATGGAAACCCACAACAATGTGTATTAACTAAAAACATAATCAGCAAACTAAAGAGAAAAGAATATTTACATTATCTTCTAATAAATTGTGATGCTAAAAACTATATTTAAAGAAAATAAATAATATAATTTCCTAAACAAAAGTCTATTAAAATGAATTCAAAAATTATAATTGATGACGAGTTTTCTATTAAATTATTCAAACTTTCGTGAGACATTATACTAAACTGATATATAAACACGGCTACACACTCACATACATTCGTCCGGTGGCGGCACCGACTAGTTTCGAGCCCATCGGGGGCCCATCATCAGGATAAGTGGTACTGGTATTATTTCGCGGACGCGGCCCGTCGTGAAGTGAAAATACGTGAGTGTTTAGCCGTGTTTATATATCAGACGAGTTTTCTATGTAAATAAAATGAAATATTAAATACAGATAGGAAAAACATATAATGAGATTGAATGTGGATGGCTACAAAGGTAGAGGAAGACCAAAGAAAGTATGGATTGTGCGAAAGACGATATGCGTAAGGGGGTGAATCCAGATATGACGGCTGATAGAGATGTATGGGGTACATACTGGGCCGACCCTCTGTAGCGATAAGGGTGATGATGAGGAAGTAAACTAGTTGACAACATAACTTAATGTTTGGGGACAGTTCAATTTCTTGCTGTTGAACACATCACAAAACGTCGTTGTCCTTCTTCATTTGATCTGAAATTAAATAGCAAAACACAATTGAAACTCTACTGCGCATTAATAAGTAATAAAATGTTACGTTTGTTATTTTTACATAAAAAAACAAACCTCAAACTACCTTTGCCTACACCAATCACACACACACACACATATACACACATTAAGATGTAAATAAAACCAGTATTTAATTCAGAATAAAAAACATTTATTAAAATTAACCATATATAAATTATGTCATGATAATTGTAGCTTCAAAAAATCACAGACAACAAATTCATTTTATTCCCCTCTGTACAACAAATTAAGTATTGCCATAAAATATTTTTCTATCATATATCCATAGTAAAAATAAACAAAGTAAATAAACAAGTATAAGTCTTTTCAAATATCTTGGCGGCTCTAAACATCGCGCGAGACGCAGCGCACACAATTTTAGGTGTAACAAGGCGCAGCACGCCGATTACTATGGGCCTCCAAGATTTTTGGAAAGACTAATAATGATATTAATATATATAACCATGCTTAATAACTTTTCCATAATACTTGAAAGAAAAATCTATCACCAGTAAAACCCTATTTCCACTAAACAGTTAGCCGAGCGTCTCTGCGCATTGCTTTGATATTATACAGCATTCAGCAGGAATTTCAGGAGGATATTGCCTCCATACAAATGCTGGCCGCTAAATGAAAATTGGATTTAATAAAAACAAATAAATACCATATTATAATACAAATTCAATTGCATATCGATTCAGCTTAATTCTAGCGAACTCCGATAATATAAAATGTACAACAAAACTAATCAACGTTAATCCTAATTAGTCAACGTTAACTAACGATTAAATTTATCAGTGCGACTTAAGTGTTATGTGCCGATATCGGGACAATTAAAAGGAGCAATAAATTGATTCGGAATTACGTTTTCGGAGTTTATAACGCACTGCCAGGAAAGCGGAACGAAACCGAGGCGAAAACATTTTTGATTGGATTCAAATGCTAGACTTTGACCACATAACCAAATCTAACGTTGAATAAACTGAGTTCATTTTCGCCTCGTTGTCTTTCATAACGGTTCGCTTCGATTTCGCATCGCTTTCGCTTTTTGCTCGTGGCGTAAACATGGATCATTGTCATATTGTTGTCTCTGTTAGTTATAAAGTGTAAGAAAGGGATGACTATATGTTTTGTGTTACCGTTTTAATAATGAAAACGCTCGTTACACACAGACATAGGGCATGTACACAAGAAAACACATGATTCGCACATCTACGTAACAGAGTTGAAAGTGCATTGACCTAAAGCATGTTTCGAAATTTGTTTCCAGTAATCGTTAATACAATGGATTACAAAACGATTAAAACAAATGACAGAATAAACTTTACTTTGACACTGTCATTTGTTTTTAGTGTCAACGAGTTTCTTCGTATCGCAAAAGAATTTGTACAGTCAATTTTCTGTTCATAAAAGAATTCACGAACTCGTGACGTCACAGACTCAATTGTACTTTCTTGATTGTCATAGAAACTAGTACAAGAGACACAGAAAAGTATAAAAAAACAATTACAATTTTGTAAATAAATATTATGACACAATGAAATGATTACAAGTAATTTGTGACGCTATAATAAAATAAATCTTTTAAACGATTTGCAGAAGACAAAAAATTGGAAAAAAACCTCACAGCGTATTCAAACTATTTTATAAATATAATATCATATACAGGGTGTCCCAAAAGGTTACGTACATAGGAAGGGGGATGATAGGGGTGGTCACAAGGGTCACCAGAAAAATAAAATAAAAATTCCCCTCTGGCTATTAAAAAAAATAAAGGGCATTTTTTAAAAACTTTAAAATTTTACACCTTCTGGGACAATTTTGTAACCAATGACCTACAAATATTGCTACATTTAAAAAAAAGCTATTATGTTATCGTCAATAACCCTTTATCAATATGAAATAAAAAAAAACAATACAACAAAGATTCAAAAAAATATTAAAATTGCCCCAGAAGGTGTAAAATTTTTAAGTTGTTAAAAAATGCCATTTATTTTTTTAATTATGGAATTTTTATTTAATTTTTCTGGTGACCCTTGTGACCACTCTTATCATCCCCCTTCCTATTTACGTAACCTTTTGGGACAACCCTGTATAGAACAACAGTTGTAGTACAATTGATTTTTACATAACAAAGAAATAATGGTCATTACATTAATATTTAAAACTGTTAATCGTTATGTAAAATACATAAAATGTAAATAGATAAAAAAATAAGTAAATGTCTATTTAATCATACATACTTCATATATATGACTAGAGGGTGCAAAGTCATGAAGAAATATCAAAAGGAATAAAAACTATTACACTACAAGATTACCTATTCTTAGTTAATCAATCCCACTTAAGTAATCTCCATACAATTTAAATTAAAATTAATCAATAAAATTTTTGAAAGCCAAGATTGAAATTTGATAAAAAAAACACAAAGTTTAGATTCACTTTTAATTGAAAATTATATCAATAGATAAAGAAATCATATCAAATTCTGTTCAAAATATGCACAATAACTATACAAGCAAAATTAACTTTTAACATAATCAACGTAAGCCTTCTTTTTTCACTGGTGTGCAAATGTGTGATGTTTCCCCACACTTAGTACTACAGAATAACATTTAATACATTAATCTCAAAAATCTCTTATTTTTGTGACTTTGTCATTGCATATAATTAAAAAAAATACACAATACTGGTTAAATATAGCTAAATAAAAATCAAGACATTTTTTTAAAACGTACAGACTCTTCCAGTATCAACCAGAACCGTAGTAAACTTTTTTCGTGTTGTTACAAGCCCCCTTAAAATAAATACTAAAGTTGTAAAGCTAAAAACTTAAAAATAATTCAATGAAGAAAAATAAAGCATAATCTGGTCTCCGATTGGTTGCTTCACATTCAAAATAACATCACTTTGACAGCTGTCAAAACCATGCACTATTTTTTATTTTTTCTGTAAATAATAAATTCGGGACATATAATAAGGAAAAAAATATGTAAATAAATAAATTATCTATCAATAAATTTGACTTAATCATTAGCTCCAAATCCTCGGCTTGTCACCGCCCGACGAGCACTGCTCCTTCGTACTTCTTATGTTGGCACCACCGCCTTCGAAAACGTTCCGTTTCACTTCGGGCTCTTTGTTTGCGCTGCGTTTAGAAATATAATTCACATTTTAAACTTTAACAATTACAAAATTTTGTGCAAGTGCAGTTGCCAATGTGCGAAAGCAAAATTTCTGCCAATTCAAATGTAAATACGAAACGTATTACCCAACCGACGCGTAATGTACAAGACATAAGCTTTCCTAATAATGTTAGTACGGGACTCGTATTATACCAGTCCGTCTCTAGGTTACGTTCCAGTTTTCATTACATAGTAGTAAAGAATGTCAATACAAAATGTAATACTGCCCGTATTTTTAATGAAATCCTAATAAAGCAGCATGCAGATAGTCTTTAAATAATTAAATAAATGCCATAAAACAGAGACAGAAATTAAAATGAAAAATGAATACGGTAAAATATTATCTATAAATTTTAAACATGCGAGTAAAAGAATTATTTTGCACATAAATATCCCTATGTTTGTAAACACGAATATATTTAATTAAATAATAGATTTTGCATAAAAAAATCGATATCAGTTTCCGGCCAATATTTATTAAACAATACCAATTAAAAATAAAACAGACACGATAACGTCATAAACAAAAACTCAGATAACGACTAATTACGTAAAACAATGCTGATAAAATGAGGGTAATACCCAGAATTTAAGAACACGTATAATATTGTTGACGGAAAACCTAACAGAATAAAAAAATCTTTTCTTTTTAGAAAATGAAATTTAAATTTTTCTTTAGTCATCGTCCACTAATCACGTGGGGGTTAAAGGAGTTAAAAAGTCGCTAAGGTTAGATAAACAAAGCATGAATCAGACACTTCGGTGCCCTCCTACGTGCGGCATGAAGCGTAGGCAAGACCAATACCATTGGGACACGTCAAATGACTAGATAAATAAGCTCTTAAAACCAGAAAGTGATGAAATCAAAGAAGATTTTAGTAAATAATTCTATGATAGAACTGAATTTTTATATTAATATAGTAGCCAAAATACACCATAATAATATGAAGTAGAAAATAGTTTGTTATATAGCTTATTTGAAGATTGCGAAATATTATGTATAACTTTATTTGATAAATAAGTTCACAGTAATTTATTCCGGACTTATGGATATTGTGTAACGCCCTAAACGATTTTTACTTCTTTCACGAATATATAAAACGTTTTCATTGTATTTTCAATTTTACTCTCACTTCCTCTTTCTCTCTTCCTCCTTCCGTTTATCTCTTTCTCAACTTAATTTGGGTATGTTATTAATATTACTAATATTATAAATGCGAATGTCTAGATGGATTTATGGATGGATGTTTGTTTGAATGTATCTCCAGAACCGCTGAACAGATCTCGATTAAATTTGACATAGATGTAGAACATAGTCTGGAAGACCACTGGAGCTACTAATTTTTTTTTTAATTCCGCGGGAACGGAGTCGCTGATGACAGCTAATCGGGAATAAAAAGCAATTAAATAGTTGCACGTGCTAAATCGTTTCAAATTGTCGTTAGGAGAAAATTTTCAGCACAATTATGTTTTGCGATATAGCAATTTTTATAGTTTGAAAGCGTTAACAATTTACAACTGATAAGATTTAATACACTTTCAACTTTTTCGCCCGATATACTTCGCGTATGTATGTTTTTATATATGTATGAAAAAGGCAAAGAATAAACAGCTGTACCAATTTTGGCGAATTGATGTTATTCGATTCACGTATTTTTTTTAAGTTAACTAATTCTTAGCTCAGTATTCCGACTACAATCTATATTGCTATTATCTACCTACGTATAGTTCTCAGATCAATCGATTCGATTCAGTAGCAGTGACCTTGTATATATATTTATAGTAAAAATGTTAAGCCTGTATTTAGTTCAAACAAGCATTTTAAGTCGTACGTACTTTATACGGGCTTTATTGAAGGTCTTAGACTTTGTTCACGTAAAACATTTATAAATAACTACGGCAAAATTCCAACTAAATTGATGAGGGTTTTAAAAACATTAACAATTCTTCGTAATGAAATAAAACATTTAGCCATTATATACGAAACATATCCGAAAATATTATCAAAATTATAGAAAACTAGCGGACCCGACAGACGTTGTCCTGTCTACACGTCTTTAATTCGAATTTATTTAAAATTTGACACTGCGATGGTAGCGCCGTCTGTCGGATCCAATGTAAAACATTCCAAAATCAACAACTACTAATAAATTAAAAATTAATTAAAAAAACATTGTCCAGCGGACAAAATTATGAATCTAAACCATTCCCGGATCCCCTTGAACACACACAAAAAATTTCATCAAAATCGGTCCAGTCGTTTGAGAGAAGTTCAGTGACATACACACTCACAGAAGAATTATATATATAAAGATAGATAGGAAAACGATTAAAAAAATTACAAAAGTTTTAAAACAGTAAGTTAATAATGTGGGATCATTTGAGGTGATTCAACGTAAGATTTTGTCAACACTTGAGTCAAAGTATGACCACATTTCGATCGAGCATGCTCAGACGCACGTATGCATTGTGTTATGTATGTATGCACTTGTACTAGACATTTGAGGGTTTACGTAGATTGATAGTATTAAGAATAACGTCATTCGATTATAACGCATATTTAACGATCTCTTTATTTAACGCTTATGTAAAAATTTACGTTCGCTCTACTACGTCAGCGCGGAGTGACAAAAATTCTTAATTATAAGTTATGTCATTTTCCTGACTACGTGAACCATACATCCGTTCTGGGGTTACTTTCTAAGAAACATCCATCCATACATCCAAACATTATCTATTTATATAAAAGAAAATCGTGTTAGTTACACTATTTATAACTCAAGAACGGCTTTACCGATATGGCTGAAAATTGGTAAGGAGGTAGCTTAGAGCCAGGAGAAGAACATAGGATACTATTTATTCATTTTTTTCGAATTTATGCCTTAAAAAGTTGCTTTTTGTTTAACTAACATTATTAATGTGAATGTTAAGATGGATGTGATGTGGATGGATGGACGGGTGGGCTACACTAATTACTTTTTTTTATATATCAACGCGAACGGAGTCACGGGCGACGGCTAGTTTATATAAATAAGATTAACCATAAAATTTTTTATTAAATGACAATTTGCTAATATAAAGAATAGAATTTAAATAAACATATTCTTGATATTTAAAAAATAATCATGACCATAATTAAAACAAGTGTTACGAAACTTAAAAACTTACTAAAATATTCAAAATTACATATACATTTAGCATACTAAAATTAAGCCACGTAGCTCCAAATTCTAATATAACGTGCGTCATACATCTGTATTAAATACCATAAAATCGACCAACTTTCGATTCGAGCACACAAGAAAGTGAAAGGTGCGTGTCTGTTACAAAACTTACAGTGAGACGCTAATTTATGGCAAACTGTCGTCAGCGACGCCGTAAGCGCGAAATTAAAAAAAAATATTAGTAGCCTACATATTCGAGATCCGTACAGCCGTTCTAGAGATACCTTCAAACATCCATCTATCGAAACATTCGAATTAGTAATATTAGTAAGATAACATTACTTAAGTTTTGTTTTTTTTTTCGATCTATCACTAACAGACACACATCAAATTCAGTGGCATTATTAATTATCAAATTAATCATTATAATTACTATTTATAGTACATTAATTAGTAAAGTAATTTAAACTTAATTGATTGAAATTTAAAAGCCATTTAAATTGCTTTAACATGTGGTTATTACTATCGGTTTATTTACAACTTTATTAGGGCTTTTTTGTAGTTGCAAATAGAAATAGCTTTCTTTTTATATGCAAAGATAAATATATTGTGCCTACTCACGCTCGTTATATAAATGATTATGTATTACATAATGATTTGACCAATAAAATAGTAGATTTCAAGTGACTTGATGAACTCATAGTCAGAATTCTAGATCCGAGCATTTTATTATATTGTAACCGGGTTACTCTGACTTTTTCAATCGATTTTGCATTTCATTAATTTAGCATATCGAATTCGGAATTGTTATGTCATTTAAAAACGAAATATTCGAATAAACGAAGTCTTATTAAAATCTATATAAGTACTGGTAAATCTATATTAATTTGCAAAATGCTCCAATTAACATATTTATTAAGATACTATCTGTCGCCCGCAACTCCGTCAGCGCGGAATGAAAAGAAACCTTAACTAGTAGCCTATGTCTTCTTCCAGACTCTGTTCTATATGTATGCCAAATTTCATCGAGATCTGTTGAGCCGTTCTGGAGATACATTCAAACAAACATCCATGCATAGAAACATTCGCATTTATATTAATAAGATTGGCCCTATTGGACCTATAAACTATAACGTTAACTTATAACTCAATAAAAGACAAAGCATATTTAATGCAAAACATTACTAAGGTTATAAAATTAAACGCAATACATATTTTACGCAACTATTTATGTAACGTAACATTGTGTTATGCGTTGGTAGCAAACATCTATACAAAGGCAATTGGTTTGAATCCGTGTGACGCACTTAATACAATAATTAAGGGCTAACAATGGTTAACACTAAGCAAATTTAATTATGCGGTAGTGAGTTTAAATCCTATGTCGCCAACCCTATCACGAGCATAATTGTGGTTAAAAGAGAAGGGGGCAAACGAGCGGGGGGACACCGAGGTGGTCAACGACACCCATGGACATCTACAAGACCAGAGGAACTGCAGATGCGTAGCTCATATAGCAGAAATGGTATGCTCACTTTTTGGACGACCCTAAGTCGTATTAGTTTGGAGATACCGCCGAGGACAGATCTGCTTAATTTTAAAAACTAATCATTTTACGTGACTATTATTCCTCGTTACTTACTTCCCTATAATCGATTAAATTAATTTACCTTTTGTACTTAAGAAATGATTATTTGTCGACTTATTTTAAGAACTTAATTTTAAATATTATGGAGGCTTAAGAGAGTATTAGAGCGCGGTAATTATCAGTATACTAGTTGTCACCCGCGACTCCGTCCGCGTGGATATATAAAAAAAACTTAACTAGTGTAGCCCACCCATCCATCCATCTACATCACATCCATCTAAACATTCGCATTTATAACATTAGTAAGTTAAATAAAAAACAACTCTTCAAGGCATAAATTCGAAAAAAAATGAATAAATAGTATCCTACGTCCGTCTACTGGCTCTAAGCTACTTCCTCACCATTTTTCAGCCATATCGGAGGCCGTTCTTGAGTTACAAATAGTGTAACTAACAAGACTTTCTTTTATATAGATAGATATATAAACCATGCTACAGATTTATTGACAATTTTAGTATTCGTTAAAATCGAGAAAGAATTTTATTGCATTCTAATTTGGAATGTCCTTACAATGGTGATCGGTAGTCGCAGATTGAATATAAAATATCAGCTGCACAGGGTGTTGATTTAGAAATAAAAATTTCAGGAAATTAACACACCGACATGTCTACAACGTGTTACTAATGGTGGCAAGTGTGTCGTTTCATAATTATCATTAGACAATAGAATTTCGATTCTTCGAGTTTTTTTTCTGCGTCACACTTTATTGTTACGTGATCGTATTTTTTGTGTTTTAAACACAATGAGACAGATAGGAAACGAGTGCAAAAAGGTAATTGAAAACCATTCAATTATTTAATTTAAACTAGCTGACGCCCGCGACTCCGTCCGCGCGGAATTAAAAAAAACTATTGGTCGCAGCGTAACGTTATATAGCCTAAAGCCTTCCTCTATAAATGGACTATCCAACTAAAAACGATTTTTTTCCAATCGGACCAGTAGTTCCTGAAGTTAGCGCGTTTAAAAAAACTCTTCCGCTTTATAATATTAGTATAGATGTAGAAAATAGCAATCAAAGCCTCTTTTATGATGCGAAATTTCCTCGACATATTTAACAATGAATGGACGTGTATTTTAGAGCACCCATGTACAACATACGAACATAGAATAGCTATATATTTTATGGCAATTAAAAATAATTACATACATTCTATGGATGATTAAAATAATTATAATATCCTACCATAGACTGAATTTCAAGGTTCAAAATATCAGATAACAATCATGTAACAGTATTGACATTTTAATTTCATGTAGAATTTTTATTTTTTGTATGGATTCAAGTTTTAAAAAATAAAAAAAAATTAAGTTGAAATTTATAACATTGAACATCTACTAAAAATGCTGTTTTTCTCTTTTTCTTTGACTCAGCGGACTATAAAAAAACATTGAAATATACATACAGTGTTATAATAACAGATTTAAATATTTAAAGTTCATCATACTTCTAGTTAAAAGTTAAATATCCCTTATTCCATAGGCATACAGCCAAATAACTAAACTGCACATATTGGCAACAAGACAAGAGAGTTATTTTGATATTAAATATTTTGGCAATGATTGCCAATTGTTTGTGATAATGTACTCTTCCTTATCATAGTAAAAAATTATCAAATAAATCTGATGTTACAACTTATAATGAATTTAAAAATTATAAGAATTCTAAGCCAGATAACAAATACTACTAATTTCATCAATATAAAATATTCTTATGCTACTATATATCCACTGAGGGGCTCAGAGTCTACCCTATGTTAGGGGAGACTAGGCCATCAACCACGCCAGCCCAGTGCGAGTTGGTGGCCCCACATATATCTTTAAATCTATATTGCATCAAATTTCATGCATCATACCAACTAAGGGCAGTAATTAAGACGGAAAAATATTATTGTCTATCTACATCATTCATATTACCCATCGCAGCAGAAATTCTTAGTTTCAAACAACTAATGTAAATAGATTTAGTGATGAAATCAAAAAACATAAGTTACCCCATTAAAAACTAATTCAAAGCCCAAAAAGCATTAATTTTAGTCAATTTAGCATGCCAATATAGTTTAGTTCACTTTGCAGGAATTATTTATCTCAAATTTGCTATAATTATCTGCATATTATTTAAAAGAAAAGTTAATTACATATAAATTATGACTATCAATGTCATTAAGAATAATATCTATAAAGTGAACATAAACAGGAAAAAAGTGCATCACAATAAGACTGTTTTAAATCACCATCAATTCTTAAGATTCATTAAAATTAAACTTCAACACAAATTGATGGAAATTTAAAGTAAATTAGGATAATAGGAATTAAAATAGTACCTGAGCATGATTCTGAAGTTTTCCAACTGTCTAATACTATTCGAAAGTCTCGCAAATGCATTGAAGAGTGCTACAATTTCAGTTCTCTGCAATCGCTTATTTGCCTTGTGTCTGACTGGTAGCGTCCCTTGCTCTGGATCTGCCTCAAGGCTGTCCCATTGTGAAGAAAATAGAATTTTTAATGCAGTACCCAAGCCTTGAGTCTGAAGCTTGCCCCAAAGTTTGCATTTGTCACAGCCAACGCAATCCATTATTCTTGAAATATTCCAAAAGTGTTCACGAAACTCATTCTTTAATTTTGCAGCTTGACTACCTCCATTGAACATTGCAGATTCATTAAAATGATCAGGGAATGAGTATATAACGCTCAGCATGTTACTTATGGCTGCTCTTGTCTCATCATCCTCTGTGGGGTTTCCAGTGAAATATTCTTCCGTTTCCAAGTACGGACCAGCTTTGGAAAGTGCCCTCATTTCCAGTAAATAAACAAAATATAAATTTTTCAACCAGTTGGGACCCTCATTATGTGTCTGAGATGGATCAAAGCGTCTCTGAAACTCCTCCAAATTGGGTCCCCACTCACCATCAGGAGGTGCAGCAAAATCAACACCTTTTTCTGACAGTAAATAATTTGAACACAAATGAATATTAATACTGCTATGTAGTCCAGATATGGCTCTATAAAATACTCTTTTCTCTAAACACATATTACTCAAATCAGAACTGAGTACATATGGAAAGGATTCATAAGGGTTTAATTTAGGTCTGAAGCAATTTTCCTGGTAAATACTTCTCCAAATCCTATGAGCAGAAGGTCCTTTGTAACCTGTATACCTCTCTGGGTTTAGAGACAGGTCAACATATTCTGCCTCTACATCTTTATCATCACATTCACAGAAATTTTCTAATGCACTGTCATGAGCATTCCATTTTGCTATTTCATACTGGCTTGCTGCACTTATGGTCATATTTAAATATCCTAAATCAGGATCATGATCCTCATCGGTACTACAAGCGGTCTGATCTATCTTTGTATACTTTTCAGCTGGTCGTTCATTTTCGTGCTCATCAACATATCCTGGAACACTGTCCTTTGAACAAGTTTTAATATGACAATGTTTCATCGCACATCTACTGTCGTCCGCCCAAAATGGACATTCCTTTTTTAAATTGACCTTGTAAAATCTAAAATAGTCTTTACTCACTAAACTCTGGATGCGGGGAAAAATCTTTACATTATTGAAATAGTCGATAGTGTCAACATTGCACGAACAATCTCCAAGTGCACCGTGAAGAGCGTCGAAGCAAGCATTACTGTCGCAAGGCGCTGTTTCAAATAGTTCAGTGTCGTAACTAACTGCCTGGACTATCGCTACAGTAAAAATCATAAACATCACACAACAATTTTTCGATGCCATTTTTGTAACAATTCTGTCCGCACCGATTACTTTACGACAAAAATATGCCACTCCAGTTTGATAGATGACTGTCACAGTCTGTACAAACAAAAATTCTGCTTTTAATCACATCACAGTAACTAAAGAATAATAATTCCACACATCAAAAGTTAAACAACAAGTAAACTAAGTAAACCATAAAAATACAATCTGCAGCAAACGTTGTGACATATCTAAACAGTGAAACGAATAATATGAAATGACTTCGTCGAAGAAAGAATTAGCAAGTGTCAATGTCAAGTAAATGTCATTTGCCACAGATTATCAAAAAAGATTTTAATTTGGTTTTACAGAAAATATTTTTTTCAATGTTGCCATTTTAACACCTTTGAAACCAATTATGAATTTAGATTTAACGTCTAATTGAATACTATTTAATTTCTAAGTTTTAAAAACATTTTTTTTTCAATTTTTTCTTTTTAAAAAAGCAATGTTTAGTAAATTAAAATTTGACTGCCAATATTTTGAATCTTTACAGCTTTGGAGTACACTCATAAGAGCAAATGTAGTCGAGTGTAAAACAAATGAGGAATTATCCAACTCTCAGTCCCGTGTATATCCCAGTATAAGTTAGGCTTACTCCTAATCGAGATGTCATTGTTTGAAGTAGGTGAATTTTATTTCACGTGCTTGAAGATAATGAGTATTAAAAGGGAATATTAAAGAAAAAAACACAATAGTTGGTTGAACTTTATTTATAGCCAAAGAATGTAAAACATATATTATTATCTGAAATGCTTAAGAGATTCAATAATACATTTTCTCCCGTGTACACAGTAGCTTTATCATATAAGAAACACTTCATAAATCACATTTATATAGAAATGCATACAATTTTTAACATTTTAGTCATAAATATAATCTGGACGTTTAAATATAAGTCGAAATAGGAAAATACTTTTTAAATGGATTCTTTAATTTTAACATTCGAATGTGACTTAACTAACTTAACCTTACCTTAATAATTATATATGAAGTCATACAACAAAAATGTATTAACCAAAAAAAAACGCATATATTATCTGTGATGGAATTAAAATGCTTAACAGAATAAAAATAACAAATATTCTACTTATCTGTACCATTAGTGTCGGTAACATTGCAAAATTATATTGATGCGTTCGAATAGTAATAACTCATTTTCCTCGAAACTAAACATGCTTCGAGAAAGAGTTTTAAAATATATTTGTGTTCGATAAAAGTTTTCTTTGAATAAGGTGGGCCAGCATTATCTCTTAATATATTAACTTGTACATATTTATCCATGTGCAGTCCACGATGTCCACTCGTTGTTCGTGTCACTCGAAATATTGTTTAAGCGTACCTGAAATCGATATAAACATTTTTAATCTACGATAAATCGATTATTTTCATCTTACCAAAAAAATCGATAATTTACTGGTACCGTAACAAAATATATAGACAAAAAATTTATAAAAAAAAGTTAAAATACAAAACCGTGCAACAAACTAAAACGTATAAAAAAATTATGCAAACTATTACACCATTTTTTTGCATTTAATTAAATCATTTCTAGTGGCATGTTACCAAAATATCGGCAAATATTTTTGTACTCTACATCTATGGCAACACATGCGAGTTATTGACTACATCACTAGCATGCGGTTAGTATTTACATAAACCCACTTACCATGTGCGATATTTATAAATTGCAACGTATTTATGTAACACTTCATTTAAATTACAAATTTTTATATTTTAGATGTTTCGATCGAAATCAAATATTGCACATCCTACTAATATTATAAATACTTAATAATGTAAAGTTTTTCTCTTAGATGACATTTAACTTATTTTGTTTTTTTAATTTAAATACAGGAAAGCCATCTAGTAGAAATAAAGAATATAAGCAAATCTTTAAGTCTAAATTACATCAAGACAAATTCAATTGTTTAAAAACTTTCTTTTAACAAAATTGACCGATTTCTAGTTATTTTAAGCCGTATTACATACATTTAGAAAGAAAGAAACTACCCATGTTATAGTAAAACTTTATTGGAGATAATCATATTATAAACTCCGCTAAAGGCACTGTTAGCAAGACAAATACAAATCCAATGACATACAGTAAAAACCGCTTAAAACGACATCATTTGAAAACATACCGGATATAGCGACCGAAACCATAGATTTCGCAATGCATTATGAAAAGTACAAAATCTATTACGAAGATTATCGTTTATTGCGACCGAATATAAGTGGTTTTTTTCGATGTCGCTTTAAACGGTTTTGATTATGTTAAATTACAAATAATTTGTATAAAAAAAAGCCCTTAAACAGATGACAATTTGGCACTGCGTCAATGTATCAATCTTAAACTGAACAAGTGCTTTTTAAATAAACTAGCATGGAAAAGCTAAATCTAAGTCATTTCAAACATTATTAAAAAGCTTTAAAACATTGAAAAGTTAATATCGTAAAAATGATTATATTATATAAATACTATTTTATAAATATTATTAGACGAGAAAATACAAGACATCTATTAATATTAATTTTATCTTTAAGAAAAATTTTGAACACATGTAATGTTTGGCAAGAAAATAATTCAAATATTTTAAAGGATTAATTAATAATGATTTATAAATTTTATAAAAAACCTACTGGCATTATTGTGCTCTTTCATATTATGAGATTCTTTTTTTTTAATCAGTCGATCGTAAATTAAATGCAATTATAGTCAGCCATGATTTACTTTTTTTGTTAAATAAAATAAAGATGGCATTAATTCTAATCAGGATAACATTCTTTTTTATATTTGAAAACTGTTTATTAATAAAAATAGTGTTACAATTTTTTTGTGCTTAAATTTTCCATCCTAACATATAAATATATTTTTTTTAATGGCAACATTTATCCAATTATGTTTTATGTTGGCCATTTCATTTCATATTTTTTTTTTTATTAAAATTGTAATTTTTTGAATGAATATTGTATTAAAATCCAGCCATAAATATATTTATATTTTAACTATCATTAATAAAATTAATGATAGAAAAATGTCTGATGAGATTCATCTATTTTATAAAATTTGCGTTCATTCATTGGGGTTTTTTTTCATAATTCATTTTTAATTTTCAATATTTTTTTGAAATATATTTTACAATTCATTCATTTCAAATGTACAAAAATAGACAAGTTACAATATTTTTACTCCACAGATTAAACACGGAATGTTTGTGATTAGCACAAATATTATGTTAGTAAGCTATACAAACCCAAAATAAGCGTATTATTTACTTACAAATCGCATTTAAACAAGACAAACAACATGTTTCATTAAAAACATGACATATAACAAAATTGAAGACGGTGTTAAACACATATATAGTAAAAAATAATATTAAACATTTAAATTGTATGCATTGTTGTCCGTCCGTACATAAAAATACTCACCATATAAAAACATCAATAAATGTATTATAAAAACATTGTAACAAAGTTAATTAAACCAAAACCTTTCATAGAATAAAATTTCCTGAACTCCACTTGAGTTCTATGTTAATCAAATAAAAAAAAAACAAAAAAAAATAAAAAATCAAGTGGAATTAATAAGAAAATGGTGTCATCCAGCCATGCAGTGAACACAGCCACCTCACAAATAGCCAATTATTAAAAAAAACATAAAATGTGTTTTATAGGTACCAGTTGTAAAGTACAAAATATTAGTAGCGAGACCTTCTGTCCATGTTTCTTATGGAGTTGGCGAGGCACAGCGCGAACAGCGCTCCGACCACCTGCATAAACAAAAAAAAACAATTTTAAACTACAGTTACTATAAATTATTTCGATACTACACAAAAGTAAACATTTATAAATGGTTTGGCCTTTAGTAGATTATGAAATGTAAGTTACAGACGCCTTAATAGGCAATCTTACTAATATTATAAACACGAATGTTCAGATGGATGAATGGATGTTTGTTTGTAGGGATCTCCAGAACGGCTAATCGGATCTCAATGTAATTTGGTATACATAAAGAACATAGTCTGGAAGAACACATAGGCACAGAATTATGTCTTTTTTAACTCCACGCGGACGGAGTCGCGGGCGACCGCTATCTAACTATAAATGTGACGTTCTTGTCACCAAGTTATAATAAAATGTTTTTGTATTAAACCCGTAGTACCTCAATACAAGCGACGCCGATGGCGACACCGGCGATGATTTTGTTCCACTTGTCGTAGAGTTCACCGGAGCGGTCAGCGCAGCCGATGGCGTTAGCATCAGCGATGGTGCAGCGGCTGAGCAACTTGCCCACAACACCGTTGGCGCGCGTGCAGCACGAGTCGGGCAGGTCGCTCACGCCCGCGATCACACCGTAGTCAGACGGGCTCGTTTTACCGCAGCACTCGAACTAAACAAATAAACCAAGAAATTTGTAGAAAGTTAAGTTAATCGCAGTATAAAACATATCATCGTAAAAACAGATAACAATATATTTTAAACGGTGATTTCGGAGTCAGAAATCCACGGTTAATGACTTAAAAGAACGAATCGTTTGCATTTGTAAACTTAAAAAAAAAATCAAGCAGTTTTTTCCTCATTTGTACCTTTTGCATTTGTTGTATCTTTACCAACCACGTCATGTCTTACTAAGATTATAAATGCGAAAGTTTGATTGGATGTTTCTTAGAAGGTATCTGCACAACGGGTCAGACGTAGAACATAATTTGGAAGAACACACAGGCTACACATCATTTTTTTTATAAAATCGCATGGACAGAGTCCCGGGCGACAGCTGGCCTGTTATAAAATATATTTAGGCAATGTATACCTGTTGCTGAATACTATTGAAGACTGCGTTAGCTGCGGGATCAGAGGAGCGCTTGTCGAATAGTCCGTTGACGCCCTTCACGAGCACCTCCTTCATCGTTTCAGCGTATGTGAACATTAATACAGCCAACACAACTTGCACAATGATGATCACCAGAAGGAAGATCGCGTACTGGAAACAAAAAGTCAATTCATAAGACAGATTTCATACATCGATGATTAACACTCTCATATAAAATAGGTAAAATCAATTGAACGTTTTAATTTTTAATTAATTTTTAAAAGTAAATTGTCTCCACTAAGATATGTCATGTGGTAGTCTACTTGCATGACGTGTCGAAAGCATGATTTAAAAGGAAGCGATGGAAACGAAAGCCGCTTTCCTTAGAGAGTTCAACTCGCACTTGTTAGTTTTTACGATTGAAATTCGTAACAGCGCGCCTGCGGTCAACTGTCGCTACTTGGTCATTGTCTACACACAAACATACTTTCTCCAATTGTTGAATACCGTACTCGATCTATTTTAATTTCATCTTCAAAATACGAGTAACTTGCGTAGACAGTAGACAAGACTCTTCACAACACGATAATAAACAAATTTAATATTACTAAATCTGTACGTAAATACACTGTTTTTGTCTACGTGATTGTAGTAGCAATTATTCGCTAGCTTTGTCACCTTGGGGTACAACACAACTTCAAAAAATCTATGACTAAGCTTTGTAAAAATTATGGATATTTAAATGTCCTAATAATATACAATGTCGATATGATTTATTCTGCCACAATAAAGTTCAGGCTGATCATGGCATATATGGTAGTAGGTATTATGCACTCACCGTGACAACCATGCAGTGGCTCTCGCGGATTGCGCCGCAACAGCCAAAGAACGCGATGATGAACATAACGGAGCCGATGACGATGAAGAACCAGGGAGCGACCGTCAGATGACTCTGCAGCAAATCTCTCAGCACCGTCCAGTTCATCAGCACCGCTATACCGATGCCGATCATGGCCAGCCCGCACAACTGTCAAAACAACATTATTCTCAATACAAATATATTGGTTGTATTTTAAATATTAAATTTTAAGGTATTTTCATTCTTCTTGTGTCGATAAATTAGATTCAGCCAGTGATTAGATATAACAGTTTCAAATACCTTTAAACTAATAAACTAGGGAGTTAAAAACATATCAGCGTGGTTGTGTAACCCGCCGCACATCAAATTGGTTAAAGATTGAAAAATAATTAAAAAGTAAATCGATACTATAATAACGTTTCAAAAATCAAGAATTAATGAGGCCGTAAGACCATAAGTCGTTATCTCCTTTACTTCATCTGATATTAAAATAAATGTTTTATACAAATATTGGTTTGTGCTCTTTTGAATGTAGGCTTCAAGATCACCAAGTTATTTTTGACATACATTTTATAACAAAGTGTAAAGTGATATGTTTCTTCCGGTTAGCATTATTTACAATAGCCCAGAATTAATATTTGTACCAACATTTTTATTCGCGAAAGTAATACTACCCGCATTCGTTTATCGAAGGAAAACAATAAACAGCTTTAGGAACATACGGGTTCAATAATACAGCGTAGTAAGTTTTGCAAATATAAAATTTCTCGACATAATCTTTAGTATGTTCGATTATTTAAATACCAATGAATCTTTAATTATATTGTAAATAAAATAATAATCTTACTAAATTTTATAAATGCGAATATTTAAATTGATGCATGGATGTTTGTTTGAAGGTTTCTCCAGAACGGCTCAACGAATCTTAATAAAATTTGTTCTGCATGAACATAGTCTGGAACAACACGGGCGTGGTTGCGGGCAAAAACTATTTCAATATAAATTCTATCATTGCGGCCATAAAAATATAATATACCATTTCCAAATGAAACAAAAAATGGGTCATTTTTAGTTATAAAAACCTCTGTCCCAATTCTCTTATTCTAACAAAGGCTTGAAATGCACCGATGTTTTAACAATAGTTTTCATCTCCGTAGGATAAAACGCGTTCATCTTTTATATATCTAGGACATGAAATATAATGTCCCTTATTGAGATAAAAAAAAGATTGATTCATATTAATAGAACAAAAATCAAAGACCAATATTTTAAAACAAAGATATTTAAGGAAAATTAACAGTAAACGTAATTCCTAAAAAAAAACGAGTTTGAATAGCAAATTACAACAGAAACGATTAGAAATCAACGCCTTCCTCAATAACATCTGTTAAGAAACTGCATAAAAAAACCAAGGTTCGAATCACTCTGTCAGCTTTTTTGCAAGATCGTTTCTCGCTGATCCATTTTCCGTCTAAACACTAATAAAATATGTTTCAAAAGGGTCTTGACAAACCGACGGACGGCCAACAAAGTGACCCTTTAAGGGTTCCGTTTTTTTCCTATGAGGTACGGAACCCTAAAAAGAAACAAATTGAATAGTAATCATAATCAGTTATTCACACTAAATATTTTACCGAAAACATGTAATTATATAAAATTTTGGATTCACGCAGTTCCCACGCACCAAATGTGGTTTGGTTATAACTTTGACCGTTATACCGTAATATCCGAGAGATAATTTTGAATACACACTATTATAAAAGAGTTAACATTTTTATTTACATTTGGATAAAGATATTAAGCCAATTTATATTTTCTTATGAGTTTCCGAGACCGAAATCATCGTTTAAAACATATTTTTGTTTTGTCAATAACAATGACAGGGATGACGATAACTTATTTACAGAGATTTTGGTCTCAGAAACCTTCGATAAGAAATATAAATTATATTTGTCATTATTCTAAATCAAGTAACCAATTTCTTTTCATCGAAAATATTCGGCATCGGATTAAAACGATTAAATTATACACCAGCTAAATTAAATATGCTCAAATTATACGAAATGTATATTGAAATATTGTTCGAATGAGAAGTAGATAAGGCCGGATGTTTGACACTGGTACAATGCTGTAATTAGATGCGGTTTTGGTACTAATTGTTTGCTTTAATGCATAGTCTTAATTTAACCCATGTCGTAGTTAATTACCGAATAAAATGTTTACCTCAACTGTTTACGTATAATGGAAATGTATCATTTTAATATTATGGTGGCAAAAATCAAAAGCGAAATAAAAATTAGTTAGCATTAACATTATCCTATCTTTGTCTTCTAAATAAGAAGATAAATAGGTCATTGTTATAAAAATTCATCACAAGTTTAATTTATATGCATACTAACTGCCGCCCGCGATTCCATCCGCACGTTATTAAAAAATAACTTAATAAGTAGCCTATGTGTTCTTTTAAGCAATGTTCTACATCTATGCCAAATTTCATCAAGATCCGTTCAGCTGTTCCGGAGATAACTTCTAACATACATCCATTTAAATTTTCGCGTTTATAATATAAGTAAGATTTAGGTTAAGTAATAGGTAATAATTTAGCGCAGAAGCAGCAACTGGCCGTTTTGACGATCTGCCGTAAACCTAGAAATGTTTATTGTGAGCTATATCCGAAGTATTGTCACGAGAATAGACTCTATGGGATAAGACGATGAAGCTCGATTACGTTTTATTCAATTCTTATCTCTTACCATGAGTTTCGATTGCCGAAACATGTATACAATAAAATATTGTCACTCTTATTCTCATTGAAAAAACAGGGGTGGCATGGCATAATCAAATCAGCTTGCGCCTGCGATTCCGTCCGCGCGGAACAAAGCAACCTAATAAGTAGCGTGTTCTTCCAACTATTTTCTACATCTATATCGAATTCCAGTCATATCAAACAAACATCCATCCATCCATCTGACCATTCGCATTTATATAATAACATAAGTTAATAAACTATTATCTTTTAAATCATTATTATTTTCACAATTTTTCCTTTTAGTACAACAGTGTTTCGTTTATGATTTCACGATTGGTTTATGAATTGTAAACGTATTGTATGGCAAGTTGAATTGTGTAACTAACCAGATGGTCTCATATCGAGGTCATCGGTCGCGTCGATGTGTATTTTTGTAATCAAATAAGAAACACGTCTCTCACTTTCACACTAACCAAACATATTATGCGTTTAACAAATAGCTTTTGTGCACGTTATTGAAGTAATAATAATTTAGTTCAAGGATTTTTAAATGTTAGTCTAATTTTACTTACTCCGTCTGCTTTTGGATCTATTTATTATAAATGCGAATATTTATATGGATGGATGGATGGATTGACGTATGTTCTTTGAAGGTTTCGCTAGAACAGATCACGATGAAATTTGGCATACATATAGAACATAGTCCGGAAGAACACATAGGCTACTAATTTATTTTTTCAGCGCGGACTGAGTATAGGCGATAGCTAGTTATCTTTATTTTTGAAAAAAAGGAGAATGAAAACTCGCACTTACATTTAATTGAACCCCAACTTCCACCTGCCCCGACTGATATTAAATGTGTCGATGTATAATTGTTTATTATAGTTAGTGCACAATACATTTAATTAATTATGTATATAAAAAGATCAACGGACGGATGATCGCCCACATAGCAGATAATACACACTGGAAGGATATAAGGGTTAATAAAACAATATTCCGGTCGATTCAATGACGATCAAAACACTCGTACCCGATACCTACTGCTTCATGAGAATAACGGATAAATAGATTCTCAAGTGAATACTATATCATAACAAAATCTCCCAACTAAAACGTAATCTCTTGAGAACTTGAGCTTAAACTTTGCTAGATATGTTTATAAAAATAATAAGAAATATAATTTAAGTTACTAGCTGATAGAAAAGCTTTCGATTAGGCTATCGAATTATCATCGGTCTAGTAAAAAAACCTGATACTTAACTCACCACTAACTTAGGGTAGGCTCCGAGCCCTTCAATGGGAACGAATAGCGAACTCATGATGAAGCCGATACTTTTATATCATGAAGGAGTGAAATTCAAAATACTTTCGAAACAAATGAACATTTTCATTTCGACGTCATACGACCTCAAAATGCACGACATCAGTGACGTACTAAATTAGAGCAATATTATAATACTTGTAAACAGTAATCAATCACGACTTATGTGAACTATAACCACCGAGGTTATACCAAAATCATTGCAATATAGTTACATTTACTTTACATCGATCGGTTCACACTTGTTTATCTTAGTAACATTATAAATGCTAATGTTTAGATGTATGGATGGATGTTAGAAGGTTTATCCAGATCGGCTCCACGAATCTTGAAGCGATATAGCATAGATGTAGAACCTAGTCTGAAAGAACACATAGACTACAAAGTTTCTTTTTGAAACAAGTTTTGATATATTTTTTTCTATCATATTATGATTTTTTTCTACATTAATTATCAAGGTATTAGGTTATCATGTGTACACAACTTCCGAGGTAAATATGTCCCAGTTTACACGTGGCATTATAATAGGCTACTTGTTATTGCCCTACTTGTGACTTTGTGTCACGCTTATTGTTTACTGAAAGCTTTTATGTGATAACAATGACCGCTATTAACAATCCATTGCGCTAAAGTAGCACAATAATCCTCAAATGCAAACATTAAACAGTGCATGTCATATAAAATTAAAAAGTTTTTTACTACATTGTCGGTAATTCATGTCGGAGGTCAAGTCGCGTGGAATGTACACAACAGCCATTTTGCAAAGGAAACCTACATCCTTGAAATTTATTGCAGTTATGCGTAATCGTATTTAAATTACATTAACTTTTAAAACATAGAACAAGTACGCTAAAATTATAACAGTCGGCACGTAACAGCCAGGAATAGACTTTTAAATATACAAAAACATCACGTTGGCCCTTCGACTGCAAATAAAATTATAACACAAGCAAGCGGTTAAACTGAGCGTCGGTGGCTCAGGTATTAAAGCACTTATAATCTGCAGGTCTTAGGTTCGAATTCCGCCATGTACCAATGTGTTTTTCGATTTACTTTCTTATGGTGAAGGAAAACATCGTGGTGCAACCTGGACAT